AAAACCATGAAACCTAGAAATTTTCCAGACTCCATGCCGAAGATGCATTTGGCTGGGTTTAACCGCATTCTGTTCTTCTTGAGATTGTTGAAAGTTTCATCGAGGTCAGCTAGATGGTCTTCTACTTTCAGGCTCTTTACCACAATATCGTTGACATAAACCTCCAGATTCCTACCGATCTGAGCTCGGAAGACAATGGCCACCATTTTCTGATAAGTGGCACCCGCATTCTTTAAGTTAAACGGCATCATGACATAGTAATAGATTTCATCGCCAACATAGAACGAGGTTTTCTCTTCGTCTTTTGGAGCCATCGGCACCTGGTGATACGTAGAATATGCATCCAAGAGACTCAATCTCTCATTGCCTGAGGCCGCTTCAACCAATTTATCAATGCTCAGCATTGGATTGCAATCCTTAGGGCAAGCTTGGTTAAGATTTGTGTAGTCAATGCACATTCGCCATTTACCATTTGCTTTTTTCACCAGTACTGGGTTAGCCACCCATTCACAATAATCAACTTTTCTGACAAAACCAGCTTGTAGAAGCTTCTCTACCTCTTCATTTATGGCCTGAAGCCTCTCCCCCCCGAAGAGACGTCGCTTCTGAGCCACTGGCTTCTTCGACGGATTGGTGCTGAGCTCATGTTGTGATACCAAATTTGGAATTCCAGGCATGTCTGCTGAAGTCCACGCAAATATATCATTGTTAGCTTGGAGAAAAGCTATTAGCTCTACTCTTTCTTCCAGGTTCAATCTAGTTCCAATTTGCGTCTTTCGGCTCGAATCTCTATCATCAATGAGCACTTCTTCGACATCTTCAACTGGAGCAGCTCTAATTTCATCTTCCGGTTGGTTATCTACTATTTCAACACCCATGACTTGTTGATTATCAAGAATCCATTGGGGGATGGCCTCGAGTGTTTGATCTTTGCCCTTCTTAGGTTGTGTTACCGAGGTGATATAGCAATGTCTAGCCACCTTTTGGTTACCTCGCAGTGTTGCTATTCCTATAGGAGTTGGGAACTTCATGCAGAGGTGAGATTGGGAAACCACAGCTTGGATTTCAGTCAGCGTAGGTCGGCCAATAACAATGTTGAAAGAGGACACCATCTTGACTACTAGAAACCGGACTGAAGGAGTCACATAGGTTCGGCCACTCCCAAAAGCAACATGGAGGGTAAGAACTCCTTCTACTCAAACTGGCTGGTTGTTGAAACCATAGATGGGACCATCATATTTCTGCAACAATGTTGGATCCAGTCCGAGACTCTCGAAACAGTGGAAGTACATGTTGTCTGGTGCACTCCCGGTGTCAACAAGGACACGTTGTACTCCACAGTTGTTAATCATGACATAAGTGACCAAAGGATCATTATGGGGTGTAACAATTGTGTCAAAATCAGCAGATGTGAAAGTAATGGGTTGATTCTTCCAGTCAACGTCGTCAAATTTCCGTTTCTGAACTCGGTTTTGATGCTTAACCTCTCTGACATACAACTTTCGCTGTTTAGAGCTCAATCCACCTACTTCCAGGCCTCTCGTAATCATGTGTATGATTCTAATTGGTGGTGGGAGTGGAGGTGGGGCTTGTTGATATCCCACACCTTGCCTGTTTGGTGGATTGCGGACTCCTTGAGGCTGTGGCCTCTGTTCTCTGACAAACCTCGACTGTTCAGCTCTCTGAATGTACTCATTCAACATTCCCTTCTAAGCTAGACTTTCCAGTTTGGACCTTAAGCTATTGCATTGCTCTGTTGTATGACCGTGATCTTGATGAAAATCACAATATCTAGTATGATCTCGGTTAACAGCAACAGTTCTCATTGGGCCAGGATGCCTTAAATCCATTTTGTTCTTAATCTGCATGAAAATCTGTGACCTCGGCAAATTAAAAGGAGTGCAATTAACTGGAGGTTTACCTGCAGATTGTTGTGGGGGTGTTGAGTTCGACCTTCCGAATCTCGGTGTAGAGGTTGGCATCGAACCTCGATTCTGTGCCATCCTCATCCTTTTCCTGCTCGGATTGTCATCTCTCCATTCTGGGTTTTGATTCTTAGAGGGAGTTGGGTTCTACGACAAGGCATATTCCTCAGCAGTTATAAATTTCAAAGACCTATCATTCACCTCGCTAAAGGTGGTGGCAGGGTGTTCGATCAAACTGTCTTGGAACCTATCATGGTTAAGACTTGAGATTACAGCTGCAATCCCCACAGCTTGGTCAAAGGAACTAACCTCCAATACCGCATCATTGAATCTGCTCATATAGTTCTTCAGAGATTCTCCATCCCTCTGTTTAACTTGCATCAACTTAGAAGTAGTTTTCTTGATCAACCTTCCACTGGAAAACTTAGTGGCAAAAGCAGATGTCATTTCTGTATAAGAGCTAATTGACATCGGAGGTAGACTGTAATACCAAGTTCGAGCATTACCTCAGAGAGCAGAGGGAAAGATTTTGCACATCAACGCATCAGAGGCGTTCTGAGCTTACATGCAAGAGTAGAAAGCATGCAGGTGATCATCGGGATCCTTTGTCCCATTATAAGTCTTGAGCTGAGGAATTTTGAAGCCAGCGAGATAAGGTTCCAGTGTGATGTTGGTGTTTAGAGGATGAGGTATGGAGTCAACAGCATGGTGTGTAGGTGGAGCGCCTCGCTGTTCAGCTAGTAATTTTTCTAAACTGTCCAAACATCGAGTGACATCATCAGGAAGAGGTTGCTGAGCTGGTGCTATGTGAGACTGGCCCTGAGATTCACTAAGAGCAGGAGCATGCTGAACTGGTTCAGGATTCTGTTGTGGAGTTGGGGGTTGTGGGGCAGGGTTGAGTAAATGGATGAGGAGATCACCAGGATTGTTTCGAGCTAAGAGCTGAGCCAATACTACCTGAAAGACACCAAACTGCTGTTGCATGGCAGCAAGCTGAGCTGCAACTACGTCTTGGTTGGCGGTAGAAGTTGAGTTGTGAGCTGAGGTATGAGGTTGGTTTTCATCTCCTCCTTCTGCATGATCAACAAGAGGGAACATAGTTGGGACTTGAGGTGGAAGCTGAGGTGGGAGCGGAGGTGGGAGCTGAGGTGGGAGGTTGCTGGGGAGTTGACCTTGCCCAAGAGGTAGAGATAAATTGCCAGCTCTGATTGATCGAGCGTTAACCATGATGAAAGAGCAACAAGAAAGCTTTCAGTTCGGATTCCCACAGACGGCTCCAAATGTAATTGCACCAAACTAGGAGTCCTTCTTTAGTCTGTATCTGCACTCCGAATTGACCTGCAAAGCCCCGAGGTGGGTCCTCGGGGTAGACACTCCAATGCTTAAGTCAGCAATAATCGAGGCTACTTTTAGAGTGGAGATAAAAGGAGCTTAGGGTTGGTTTCAATTACCTTTTTGACGTGGCCCCTGGGGGGTATTTATAGGCTTCAGTGAGGAACCCACGTGGCATGCCAAGCAAGATAATCGGAGTGTGACGTGTTCCTTGAGGAGATAAACTCAGGACCGGCTACAAATTCGGGACTGGAGAGTTATGCAATAAATCAGGTGTGGATATACCTATTGTATTTATCGTACAGCCGTTTGACCAGAAATGCTGGGTTTAATTTCATTTCGGTTATCAAGGAATTGTTATAGTACGTCCGAGATCCTTAACCTCGGACTTATCCTTACACTTTTACTCTTGAATTGATTAATTTTAAAGTGTGTTAATTATAGATAAAAATATTACATAGTATATAATTAATAAAATTTTTATTTTTTATAAACTAATTAATTTTAAAATTTAAATATTTATTTTAAAATTTTACACTCAATATATTAATATTAATATTTTTTATTTTACTTATTTAAATTTTAAAATTAAAATAAAAAAAATTAAAAATCACAACCATACTATCAAATCTCCTTCTGTATAACTGTTAAAAACGTCTTTTCTAATCTAAAAGAAAAGCTGATCCGAATACTAGTCTTTTGGAAATAGCTTAAAGTTGTGGAGAAACTTTTGGCTTCTTGCCTTTGTAATTCGAAGAAGCACCCACTTAGGTGCTTTTGGGAGCTTATGCGGGGTGCATTTTGCGTGTTCAATGAAAATTGTTCGAAGTTTCAATTTAACCCTCACATTTGATTTTATTTAAGTGAGTCAACTAAGAAGTATAAATGCATAAGCCTGACCCATAAAGTCGAGTGGCATTCATCATTTTTGTAAATATTTACCTTCCTCATTTTTTAGATAATGGTTTAATCTCACCTTAGAGTAATTGTTCAAAAAAAAAAAAAAGTATAAATGCCTGGACACTTGTTTCTTTGATTGAGTTTTCTCACTTTTTTTTTTGGCTTAATTTAATAGATAGTATGGTAAGTTTTGTATTTTTTTATTTCATATATTATTTTTAGCTTTTTTATTATTTATTACTTTAATTTTAATTTATTTTAATTTGTTAACTTTCTAATTGTAATTTCATTTCATTTGATCAAATTAATTTTTAACTATATCTTTTATAAATTTTTATTCATTGAAATTAATTTTAAGATAATACTGGATGATAAGTTTATTTTCATTGAAGGATTGTAGTTTTTATTACAAATTACTTCAACTTTTCTTTTTGACAATTTTTTTTCCTAATTGAAACACAATTATTAACATATTTTAATAATTTATATAATTTATTATAGGTTACTTTACAAACTGTCAATTACTCTATTTAAATTTTGATTTCACTTTTTTTTAATTAAAACTAATGAAAGTTTTGTATAGTAAGCTATTTAAAAATATTTTACAAAATTTATAAACTATTTAAAAAAATTAATTTTTTAAATTAAAATAAAATAAAATTAATAATTACTAAACTAATAATTAAATTAAGTCATTTTTTTCAAAAAGCTTGAACTGTGCCTATCCTATTTATATATTTTGCGCCTAACCTCCAGTCTTTGTTCACCCATTTATGCCCTTTGGACAAGTCTATTTCTATGGGCTAGGTCGTCTTTTCACGCGCATTTTCAAAGGCCTTTTCTTGAAGCTAGCCCGTTCACTAGGCCCCACTTTTCTTATGTCCTTTCTGCCCTCCGTTTCTTATGTTGTTCATCGGCTTTTTCGTCATTTCCCCCCTGTGATTCGAAGTGGTAAAGCGCCATTTGCTGCTTTATTTTCTATAACACCCTTGATCATTCTACCGTTTGCTTCTCTCTTTTAGGGATTTCAGCCTCTTTTTGAGTCCCCACCCACTGCCTAGACTGTTCTGCCACTATTCCTAAACCGTGCTTAGGTCGACCATTGCTTCCGATTCCCATTTAAGAGTTGCTATTGGTGCTCTACTTGCAGCTTTTTCTCTAACATTGCTCTTTCTTCATGGTTGCCGTCGTGGTTTTCACATGCTTTAGTGCTTCCGTTTGTTTAGAGTTTGAGATTCATTAGAGGAGACTTTTGAAGGAGATGGAAGAGGCGGCTTGGATGTGAAGTGTGGTTGAATTAGGAAAGGGTAGGTTTGTGGTGTGGTTAAATTTGAGGGGAGTTGTCTATATTGAGACAAGAGGGAAGAGAGTGGGAATAAGCGGTTGGGTTGAGGGTTATGGCTGAATTGAGAGAGCAATGTCTTCCGACCTATGTATAAGAAGGAATTGAAGAGAGAGGGAACGGGTGAAAGGGTTGAGGATTGTAGGTTGTAGCTAAATTGAAAGTGGATAGTCTTTGATTTGGTTATGAGAGAGTGTAGTTATTAGGTTTTGAGGGATGAGGAAATAGGCGAAGATGTTGAGGATTATGCCTGAGTTGAGAGAAAAGTTCTTTAATTTGATTCAGATGAATGGTGGATGGTTGGAGTTTGCCCTTGTTGAAGGTTGTTAGGTTGATGGCGACTGTTTTTGCCTTCTAAGTGTTGCAGAAAATGGATTTGGGTTTCTCTTTTCGGTTTGGGTACATTTATATGTTGTGAAATTTTGTTTTTACTGAATTGCCATGATTTTATCCTCCTAACCTTTTTACATTTGTGAAGGTACTAATAGTCTAATATGTCCTTTCCATTTTTTTAGCGGGTTGGTTTTTGAATCTGTTATGTCCTGGTTGTTTGGCAGTTTTTGCAGGTGGTTTTCATTTTTTCTTTTTTATCATTCCTGTTTCTCTATTGAATTCTACCCCTTTTAGTTTTTTGATTGTGTATTGCCCTCTGAGGAAGCATTTAGTTGGAATATTGTTTGATTTCAACTGGCTTTGAGAGCTAAAATACCATTTGAATATCTTAGATTTCATATTAAAATGTAACTTTAGTTCAAGAAAATATCCAAAATAATGAAATTTACTAAAGTAAATAAAACCCTCAAAATCTTATGCTTTGTAGAGTAGAATTTAGAAACTAGAATTCATTCAAATGTACAATAAAACGAATAACCGTGCAGATTCAAAGAGTAAACATCTCTAGCGCTACAATCACAAAACAGGATTCCTAAATCAAGAAATACTCACCTCAAATCCTTTACCAAAAAACAAACACTTAAAAAACCTAGTTGACAAACTCGCCAAGATTAAAACACAAGACATCAATAAACAACTATAGATTGAAGAATACAAACCTTTTATCATACATGACCTTCAATAATTAACCAAAAAAAGAGAAGAAGAAGAAGACTCACGCGTAGAAATAATTCAGATCTACAAACAAGTATAGATCAAAGAATACCCAAAACAAGAGAGAGGAAGAGGACTTAAAAACAAAAAAGCTAGGAAAAAATTCACGCAATCAATAAAATCTTCTGACCTTTTAATATATTGTCGTTTATCTACCTAAGATACATCGATAGGATAAATAAAATCTTCTCATATCTTGCACTACACCAGAAACTTACAAAATGACCCATTAAAAACTTAAATACAGAAACAGCCCAATAACAAAACAGGCCCGCAAAATAATCTCCTCATACTCTCATTCGAAATATTTTACAACAATTATATAATCAATATTATAATTATAATATATTTAAAGATTAATGAATATCAACCAATATTATAAAAAACAAAAAATATCATGAAATTATATTGTTTTAATAAATTTTTTTTAACAAAATTTTATTAAAATATTAAAGTTATATGATTTTTTTTTCTTAGTTTTTACATTACATATTAATGCTCACTTTTTTGATATATTTTTATTCATTTATGCAAAATAAAAAATTTAATTTAAATTGACAACTTCTAAATTTAGAGACATGGTTTAATGATAGTATATTATCTTTCATTGTTATCAACCTTTTTTTATCTTTTACCCATTCAAAAAAATATAAAATAATAATTAAATTAATTGTGGTTTATAAAAAAGTATAAAAATTAATTAGGATTAATAAATTTAACATTTTTTTTATAAAACACTGTATTAAAATGTGCATATATAATTTTTCAAATTGTTCAACCTTTCTTTCTTTTAGTCCATTCTTTTCCTTTCCAAACAAATTTCATGGAAAATTCTGCATATGTCAAAAATTTAACCTTTTTATTTTTTGCATTCATTTCCATCAACTTGGTGAACATGGTGTTTTTAACCCCTTCTTGTTCGATGGCCTTGTTTAGATTTTAAGAATCTCTTAATATCATATTTTGCTAATCTTTTAGGTGAAAAATCAATCGCATGACTGATGGATTCTTATAGCATATATCAAAGTGAAAGATTCTTCAGCAAGTTTCACATCCTAATTAAGATGTATATATTGATGGTCCAAGTACTATTTGATCTCATTAGTTGGAGCTATTTTGACAATTGCATTCTTTGTAATTGTGTCCTTGTTGATGAAGACATTATCTTGTATTGCAATTGTACCTTTGTTTAGGCCTTTAGTTATATACTTAAACAGATACTTTATAGCATTTGACTTGTTACCAACTTCAACATTTATATGTGCTTGACATTTGAGTGACAAATATATTTTGTAAGGCACAATATACCTATTCTTCTATAAGATGAAATCATTGTTAATCATATATTTGGATAGTAAACTTATAGCAAATTTATAACGCTTGAAATATTTCAAACTTTGAACTTTATGTGCTTAATACTCTAATAATAAATCATTATTATTAAGAGCAATGTACTTGTTGCTAAGAGCTATGTACTTGTTGTCAAGTAAGATGCCATCTTTTTAATAGTACTATTATCATCCCTTACAATTTGCTAATCTTTTTTATAGGTTTCATCTGAATTATATGCTTCATATTTGGAAATGGTTGACATGTGAGTCTTTTTTCTAAATATCAAGAGAATGATAAGCAATCAATAGTGTTAAAAAATTTAAATTTACTCCAAACATTTTGATTATAATTAGAAGAATGGGTATATCTGTTAGAATTTGTTTGCTTTGAATCCTATAAGATGTCATTGCTTATGATTATAAATGTTTATTATCAAATTAACCATATAAGAATATTCTAGGAATGGAATTGATGGATTGTAAATTTAAGTTACTTTATTTCATTGTTGGATGTAGAATAATACTATAATTTATAACTACTTACATATTGTTAATTTCTTATTAGACTTTATATTCTCAATTCTTGTTTTTAATTTTTTATTTCGAGTATTTTTATTATGTTGTCCTTTCATTTTCACATCTAGAGAATTTTTGCTTTTTTTATATTAACTTATTACAATAATTTCAACAATTAGAAGAAGACAAACTAGGGAGATAAAATGAGGCAATACAAAGATATATTATATTTCTATTCTTTTCATCTCCATTTCTTTTCCATACATTTGTAAGAGTACAAACTCTATATATAAGGGCTAATAGGTGATAGGAGTTACAAGAAATAAACACCCATTAAATAGGAGGTTACAAGGATTAAGCTCCTATTAATAGAGGGATTACAAGAAATCTCATTATCATCATCTAAATGCATGGCATTATGAGGTGTTAATCACCATTGTAATTGCCTTGAAAGTGGTGGAAGTTACACAATTACTTGGTGATGAAAGCATGAAAATGTATATTTAAAGTGTGCTTAACCATGGACATTTGTAGAATTATGGGTTTAAGAGTTATATTTTTCTACAAATAATTTCATAATTGTTCACTCTATTCATGTTGTGCAAAATTTTGGTGATCAAAGGTTTGATGACTAAATGGAGAGAATTAGAAGAAAAAGGACTTAAATGCAAAGAGCTGAAAAGATGAGGATCTAAGGATAAATCAGAAGTTTAAAGGCTCAAGTGAGATTTTCTCCATTCTTGATCAAGGAGCAAATTGCAAAGCTCAGAAATATGATGATCAACTTGCACTGAATCCAGGAGTCAGGGACCAAGACTGCTATTCTGCCATTAAGCAAAATTGCACAAAAGGCCAAAAACCCGACACGAGGATGCGGTTGACGCTCCACTCAAAGTGCCGGCACCTTGTAAAGAGTGTCGACCCCTTGCGCGGTAATTCAGCCCAGCCCCACATCTATTCTAATTAGGGTTTTTAGGATTCTATAAATCCCCATCCAAGTTATTTTAGAGGGGGTTCCAGGGCTGGAGAGGCTGCTACCAGACTTCTATTTTCTTCTTCAAGGCTAGAGAATTATGTTAAAGGGCAACTAAACTTTTAACAAGACTAGGGAGGATCTTGATTGAACAGTTTGACTTATTATTTTATTTTAATTCATTCATAGATTTTATTGTTTAATTTTATTTTTGAGAGATTGTTAATTATTTTCAGATTTGAAAACCCTGAAAATTATATTTATCAAATTTCATATAAGATTAGTCATGCTCTTTTTATGTGTGATTTGTTAGAATATAATTGATTGGTAGATTTGTTTTACGGGTTGATCCTTTACTGCAGTATTGTCGATTAGATATATTGTCGCTCTTGGATAGCTCGTAAGGATAGATCAGTTTGTTCTTCATTGAAATTAATTTTTCTCAGAATAAATACATTAGTCATTATTATTGGTTTTCAAAGTTGAATCTTCCGATTGTTTGTTTGGGATGTGAAACATACAATTGAGTAATAAATAGGAATCAAAATTTATAACAGTTAAACAAATCAATTAAGTGAACCCTGAAGTCTTTTTCATCATAATATTGTTTTTAATCTTTTACAATTATCATCTTTTATTTAAATATTTTTATTCTTAATTTTAGAATTCATCTTTTAATTTAATTTCTCATTGTGACAACTCTTTTTGTTGATTTAATATAGTTTCCCTGTGGATTCGACACCTAAAGCTACACTACAACAACCGCTTAGCCAAAGGGTATTAATTTTGAGGCGACACATCAAAATTTGGCGCCGTTGCCGGGAAGCCAGATTGACAATTAGAGTTTGAACATTCTTCACTTTTCTTTTATTTATTTTATTTGCTTTTCTTTTCTTTAGTTGATTTTACTTTCTTGCTTTTATTTTATTTTCTTCATTCAAAAACAAAAAAAAAAAAAGGAGATTAGAGTGTATGAATAGACCGACATACGAAAAAGGGAGATTTATTAGATTAGATCCACCACCTTTGCAAAAAGAAGAAGTCGAGTCTAATTCATCCTTTAATTCTGAAACCATGAGTCAAGACGGGGATCAACCTCTTAGGACTTTGAAAGACTACTTGCACCCCACTAGAACAGCTACACCATCATGCATAATGTTTCCTCCTAATACACCATACTTTGAGTTCAAACCTGGAATGATTCAGCTTTTGCCTAGTTTCCATGGTTTAGAGAATGAAAATCCATATGTGCATGTTAGGGAATTTGAGGAGGTA